CCCCCGATTCCCTCAGGATTTACGACCAGAGAAAAATCGACGAGAACGAGAACAACGGAGTCCTGAAGAAATTCTGCCCCCACCACCTGGTACTGGGAGCACTGGGAGTTACTGGGAGCACTGGGAGGGAGCTGGGACAACCCTGGAGTGAAGAGGCCTCTCCTTTTCCTGGAAAAACCCCTCACGAGGCAGAAAACCTCCCTGAAATCCCTTTTTTTTTTTAGTTTTTTTCCCCTCATTCCCCATTTTCTGCCTCCCCAAATCCTCGTTTTGGGGTTTAACACCCAAAATTCCCAGAAGAGGGGCAGGATCYGAGGTTTTTCCCATTTTTCCAGGTTAACAGCGAGTCCAAAGCCAACATCACCTGCTTGGTCTACAGCCACGACGGCTCAGGTGAGTCCAGGTGGGAATTTGGGGAGTCCTGGGGGGGTCCCACTCCCCCAAACCAACCCCCATTTTTCTCTAAAAATCAGTTTTCCTCCCAAAATGTAAATTTTTCAAACCCCCCCCATTTTTCCCCACAAAAAGCACCTGTTTTACAAAAAAAACCCTAACTACCCCACCAAAATTCCTTGCTTTCCAAAAGAAAAATAGTTTCCCCTCCAAAGAAATCTGTTGAGCTCCAGACCCTCCTGTTTTCCCTCATTCCTGCTGCTTTTTTCCCAATTTCCCCCATTTTCCCACTGTTTTTTCCCATTTTCCCCGCTGTTTTTTCCCATTTTCCCATCGTTTTTTCCTATTTTCCGGCCGTTTTTTCCCATTTTCCCCCATTTTTTCCCATTTTCCCCCATTTTTCCCATTTTCCTGCCATTTTTTTCCCATTTTCCCACTGTTTTTTCCCATTTTTCCTCAGTTTTTTCCCATTTCCCCTATTTTTCCCATTTTCCTGCCGGTTTTTTCCCATTTTTCCTCAGTTTTTTCCCATTTCCCCTCATTTTTTCCCATTTTCCTGCTGTTTTTTCCCATTTTCCCCCCGTTTTTTCCCATTTTCCCGATGTTTTTCCCCGTTTTCCAGAGCTGCTGGCCTCGTACAACGATGAGGACATTTACCTGTTCGACTCCTCCCACAGCGACGGGGCCCAGTACAGCAAACGCTACAAAGGGCACAGGAACAACGCCACAGGTGAGGGGGAAATGGCCCTAAAATGGCCCTAAATCAGCCTGAAATCAGCCCAAAATCCATCTGAAAATAGCCCCAAAATCAACCCTAAAACGTCCTGAAATCAGCCCAAAATCCATCCAAAAATAGCCCCAAAATCAACCCTAAAACG